AGTCCCCTCTAGCAACTTCCATGTACCTTGGCATGTAATATTTCTTGACACTGGAGCGGCGGGGCACGCATCAAGAAAATGGGTCTGCATCAGCTGGTAGTTTCCTTAAATAGGGGTACCCCAAGATAGACCCTAACATACTACAATCGTTTTCATGGGGACCCTCAAGATGCTACTCACAGCAGTTGTGCAAGAAAGGCATGAAAGCCTCGTACAGGGCTGTCTTCTCTTCTGAAGCCAGATGACGGAACCTGGAGCACATCATGTGAGCTAGGATCTAAACTCCTGGTAACCCCCCTAGATAAGCCCTATAATGGTCCCCTATATACTATATGGTAGTTTCCCAAAATTAGGGTACCCCAATAACCCCAATATACTTTTGTCCTTATTATAGGGACCCCCAAAAGGGTACCCCTAATTTTGGGAAACCCCATTTCACCGCTGTATAACCCGTCTTTCAGGAGATGCGATTATGGCTTATGTCGCTGCGACTGTCATGAGTGGGACAGGTATTTCTCAAAAGGTGAGGTTCCCCTTATGACAGCCTGCTGTCCAGTTTCAGATATGTGCTATGTACTTTGGAGTGCAATTCTTGTTCTAGGAACTTCCTCAGTGGACGACCCAAAATTTTGACAAACCCTTCATCTTATTGGTTGTTAATAGGCATTAAGGTCTAGAGTTCAGGGTTAAGTTTCCATTTCGTCGTCCATTCCTAAACCCTAAACCCCCTAAAGCCCCAATAAGCCCCGATAGCACTGAGCAGCAACGCAGCAAACACGACAGGCCCACTCATCGATGCAACAGACACCACCATCTGCTAGCGACAGCGCTCCAGCCTTGCCAAAAGTCGTGATTTGGTAGTTTCCCAAAACAGGAGGACCCCAATATGGACCCCAAAATACTATAGTCCTTATTATAGGGACCCCCAAAAGGTACCCCTAATTTTGGGAAACTGCCATTTTGGATTTAGGGTCTATGCATTGAGGGTCCAGCATCTAGGATACATGGATTAGGGGGGCAAGATCTCAAAAGCTGCCATGTGCTCTCAGTGCTTTGTGTAAACAGTGCGAATATGGAAGACTGGCACGTGCAGTAGTCGCCGCCGCAGCTTGGCAGAGAAGTCTGACAGGATCTCTGTCCGTACAACTTTGATCCACGGATATTCCGCTCATCAGGATAGGTGTTGCCTAGCACATGTAAAAAATCATTGCATGGACATATGTCAGCGCACCAGAGCAGGGCGGAGGATGATCCGATTTCATGGGGCTTGAAACAGGCTACTCTGTCTTTCAGGGCAAGCCCCAACACCACGTTGTGCAGTGGCTCCATGCGGTCGGCGGTCGGAGATAGGAGTAGTTGCAATGCCTTGCAATCACTTGGTATGTCGGTGTGAGTGGTCTGCCTGCCTTTTCCCGAACAGGGCGAATTGAAAACTATCGAGTGATATGAGGCCTCTATGCCTGACAGTGGCAAAGTATGTCGTCTTGGGTGATCCAACAACTCAGTCTTGGCCTTGTTGAAGGCTTTTCCCCCCCCCAAGTGTCTTTGAACCCCCCCATCCCCCTAATAGTGAATATCTCACATTCGGTAAAGAATGCCACAATGGCCATATGTGATACTAGGGGGTGGCTTGCTTCTATCAGGGAAATTGGATTGGTCAGTAGCCGGGGCCGTGCAACTGCATTGACCTACCTCAGCAGAACTGCTAATTAGTCTTGAGGTGTCATTCGCACACTACAAGTCGCTATTGGTTGACCCATTGTCCACTTTATGGGTTTAGGATTCAGGGTTTGGAGGGTTCGGGGTATCTCAGAACTCTCGTGGGAAACCGGAAGCAAGGTTCGGGAATTCCAAGAAATGGGAACTATTTGGAAGTCCACATATCAAGCAGGACTAAGAAACCTTGTTGGAGTGGAAATACCCCGGTGTTCTTCTAAGCCTGCCTCAAGGCTCCAACCAGGACCGTCACGTATGCAGGCAAACGTGAGCCTTCGCATGGATGATTGATTTGGATGCAGAGTTTGGAGATTAGAGTTGGGTTGCAATTAGGGAACTCAAATTAAGCTATTATTCTGGGATATTCTGGGTATATAGGTTATATAGATTTTTATAGTAAATAGTAGGGTTTCCTTATTCTAGCGAATTGAAAGAAGTTGCTTTACCAGCAACCCAGTTTGGGTAAGAAGCTTGAGGACTCTAGTCTTTTTGGGCAAAAAGGTAAAGCTTAGGGTTAAGGGTTGGGTTTAGGGTTTAAGGTTTTGGGGATCTAGGGCTCCCGGCCCAGAACGAGTAGCCCCAACTGCGCTGCAGCAGACTCCGTGCGCAGAAAGGTCTGATGCGGCCTGGCACTATACTTTGGGTCCTGCCCGGCCCCCATCCATTAACAGTCTATAATAGGGGTCATGTAAGGGCTCTGTATACTTTTTTTCTAAATATTATCCAACTCTTAATGAGTGGAGGCAATATATATATTTATTTCTAAATATCATCCAACTCTTAATGCGTGGAGGCAGTATCCGAACTATGCTGCACGATATGCTGGACCGCGAACCTATTGCAACGACCTAAGTACTTGCAGGCATTATTTTGGAGTCTATTTGAGGTACCCTGAACTGTACTTAGACAAGAAATAAGGGACCATCATATTGGTAATTGTGTAGGCCTCTACATGAACCCAGTTGGCAGTTCGCTGTCCCGTCTGCATACGGCCTGTTGCTTGCATATGCAGCTGATAATTGTCTGGTGGGATCAGTACAACACATTGCAGGGGTGGCCACGCATCGCAGCCAGGACTCTGAAAAAGGTTTTTTTCTGCGCAGACTTCGACCAGTAACCAGATGAGCCATAGTCTAAACTCCTAGTATCCCCCTTACCGACCCCTGTACAACCCCCTCTGAGGAGTTTAGACCTTAGACCCTAAACCCTGAACCCCAAATAAAGGGGTTCCCCTATAGTACCCCCTTCAAGGAGTTTAGACTACAGCTCAGATGAGATTGATTGCTTCGAGACTTACGCGCGTCCCCGCTCTGCCAGCAAGTTTTGCTGGCACCACGCAGGACATAGGGTTTAGGGTTTGGGGTTTAGGGCTTACCCATTGGGGTAATATTGGGCTTATCTTGGGCTCATTTTGGGATAATGGAAAATAGAATGGAAACTACTATTTAGGGTTTAGGATTTAGACTACCGCGCCTCGCCAGAAATCGGATTTCTCGGCCCGGTGTCAGGGTCTTGGAAAGAGGAGTTTCCGATCTTCCCATACACGTACTCCAAAACAACATACCTGGGGGCCTTAATCCTTTGGAGAACTCACTTCAGAATTTGTCAAAGCAAATCCTGTGCATCACAGGCTCCTCTCCCCAGACTTCGCAACCTCACTTTGATGTCTTTCCAAGCAAAAGCCTGTGAGACTTTATCTCCAGACTCGCTTAGGACAAGGGAAAATGGAAAATGACATGAGTTTACAGACCCAAGTTGGGCCCGGTGAACTGCCCGAATCTCACTGCGCTGCGTCAAAAGTACGGAAGCTGTGTTTCGGAGGTTCACCGGGCAAACACTTCTTGTGCCTCCTCGGTATCAGGGAGCCTGACATCTTCCGGCTCAAGGCTTTTGACCATGTGGCTCCTCAAAGCAGCAAAGGCAGGAAAACGCCTCCAAGGAAACAAGGATTAAATATATCTCTGGTCTGGACCCCCGTGTTCTTCTTGATGTTGTACACTATCATGTCAAGCGATATATTATTATGCATTACGATATAGCATAATACAACATAATGCCATTTACAAAAATGTAACCAAAGATAACACGAGACAACATGAACATAATGCAGCACGTATCGTCTAACAAATACAATACATGTACTCTGGTACAATGATATATATATATATATATATACGTGTCGGTGTGTATGCGAGGTACTACTTTAATAGATATATGGCAGTTCTATGAATACGAGGACTCAATATTCAATATAGACCCAACAATCCTTTAATCCTACTACGCGCTACAGAACCACTGAAACAGGGGACACCTAATTTTTGGAAATATGGTAGTTTCCCTGAGGAGGGATAGACTGCAAAATACGATAATCCTTATAATGGGGACCCCAAAAAAAGGGTACCCCGAACTTTTTGGGAACCCCTAAACCCTAAACTCTAAATAGTTTCCCCTAATTTTGGGAAGCCCTTAGCCCTAAACCCTATGTACCTCTTTTGGGAAACCCCATATCCATCAATCCCTTGAGGTCCATCTGAGACTCCCACGGCTCACCGCGCGGAGAAAGGCCTGTGGTTTGGTAGCCACAGCCGCCGTATAGGCTTTCTGACGCCTCAAAAAGGGTTTAGGGTTTAGGGTTTAGGGGTTGAGGCTTTAGGGTTATAGGGTTGAGCGATTAGGGTTTAGGATTTAGGGTTTGCCAAAATTAGGAGGGTCTAGGGGGTTAGGGTTTGGGGATTTGGGTTTAGGGCTTTGGCCTCTAAATATTGGGTTTCCCAAGAATAGGGGTACCTGGGGTCCCTATATTAAGATTACAGTATTTGGGGTCTGCACTGCGGCCCCCCTTTTTGGGAAACGACCATATATTTAGCTAAGGTTTAGGGTTTGGGGTTAGTAATGGAGTGACCCCAACATAGAAGATCAAACACGCATAATTTGATGGCGGGCGGAGCGGAGTAAGAATGCATGGAACCTGTAAAGCAAGATACATTGAAGGAAGATATTAAATATCTTACTCTATATGGGGCACTATAGTAACCCTATTCAACATGCTATGCAAATGTCGTCGCCTTTTATACTGCAGAATACGTGAATCCTCATTGTACGAACTCACCCCAACAAAGGACACCCAGTTTTTGAAAACGCCTTGCCGTTCTCACCAGGAGACAGGTGTACCTGTACTCCTCAGACCGGACACGGCTCAGGGTCTAGAGTCTGGGGCTACATCCGGGTTATCATGGGATAATGGAAAGTAAAATGGCAACTACTATGAAGGGGTTGTATAGGGTTTAGGGTTCAGGGACACACATGTGACATGATCTGTCTGTTGTCCATAGCGACGCCTTGCCGCCAGCTGCATGCAGGTAAAGGCGATTTCCGCGCCAAACCTCGACGACAACCTGATTCCAGGCAACAGATTTGCGGAAGAGAACATCTTTGTGCGTCGCTTCTTTGTTGCTGCTATTATTGCTATTGTTCTTATGACTGTTATTGCTACTGTACAGCCTTCCACCTCTAGCTGCCCTTCTCAACGCGGACCTGCGTAGCTGAAATGACCAGTAGCTGCTGCAGGGCCACTTCTTAGGGGCTGCACGCTTCTTTGGGGAAAGGTGATCATGTTTCTTAGAAGCCGATGGCCCAGGCCTTTTCGATCATCCGAAGCATGGCACGTCCCACACCCTTGCGGCGCCAGTTCGGCGCAACGCAGAAGTTCTGAAGATAGGGTTGCGCCTGAGGTCTGCAGGTAGGTAGTTCTCAAAACAGGCTTACGCTAAAGAAACTAGAGGCCCCAGAGATATATCCCGGTGTTACGCAACCAGGGAGGTCCTTCTTTGGGATTCGAAGGGCAACTTTAAGAAATCTCCAAGTGTAAGCTGCACACTTTGGACGGATGCTGGGCGCGTCAACCTGGCAACTCCTGGGGCAGCAGCTGTGTTCGGGTTGTTGTCAAAGATCATGGACCTCGATCTGGCTTGCTGTCAGGGAACTGAAGGTAAATAGTAATAGCAGTAATAACTGTAATAATCATATTACAAATATAGATAGTACTAACAGTAATAGTAGTAAGTTGTCATAATTGGGAAACCTAGTATTTACAACATATCCATATCCCGTAACTTAAGTAGCCTCAAGAGCAGCCCAGTAATGCCGTACTGTGAGGTTTGAGGTTTGAAGATAAGATGCGTCCCCGCACAGAACAAAACCAAACATATGATCACCCCGACTATCTGCCCTCACCAAACGGGTCCCTAATTTAAGGAAACCCTGATGCCTATAAAGCACTTCAAATCCGAGTTTCCATTTCATGTTACCTTTTCTTTTCCACTTGAGCTCCATCACTGGAAGATTATCCGCATGATCATGCTGCGCATGTAGGTTTGGCTTGATCACTGCTCAGTGTCTGGCACAGCAGCTCCGAAATCATCTGGGGGACTTCCATTCGGAGGCAAGATGCACAGCCTTAGCTTCTGGGCAGCTGATATGTTGCCTTCTCACTGAGGGTCCTCAGCTTATACCTTCTAAGAGTTTCAAAGCGATAAGATCCAAAGCAAACACCCCGCTCACAGTGAAAGGGGACCCAGACGGTTGATGGACAAAATGCTGCACGATCTCATGCACCTACACATTTGGGATTCTGGTGATATAGTATACTTGCAGGATTGTCCAGCAACAGACACCCTGAACCTCAAACACTTGCTATCATGATCACGGCAGTGGAATGTATTTAGAACCATGCAACATTTTGTGTGAAGTAGTCTTAAGATGTCCCCAAACTGTCCGCTGAGACCTAGACCCTGAACCCTAAAACCTAAACCCTGAATCCTAACTTCAAACCCCAAACCCTAAACCCTAATCCCTAAAGAGTAGTTTCCACTTTCTTTTCCATTATCCCGATATATCCCCAACATAACCCCTAATATTACCCCAATGGGTACCTTTAACCCGAGACCCGGAACCAGAAACTCACCTAGGAGCTCGCAGAAGGCAACCGGCCTGGCAGGCCCATCACCTGCGCGGTTTAGGGTTTAGGGTTTGGGGTTTCGGGTTTGGGGTTTAGGGTTTGGGGTTTGGGGCTTGGGCACATTCTCCCAGAGAAACGGTGGACGCAGGACATTTTGGATGTAATTTTTCACTTACTTATGACAAGTTTTCGGGGTACTTAGCCACTAGGATATGACAATATACTAGAAAGGATTCTTGAGAGCCCGTATTTACAAGTTGTTGTACTACATTTGAGTGGATCTTTCGCTGAGGGTGCCCAGAATACTCCAAAATTGATAGGGCATTGCAGCACTTAGGACCTAGGACGTCCAGATGTGTGGCAAGAGTTCCTGAACAAATCTAGGCTTTAGGGTTGTAGGGCTTAGGGTGGGAGCAACTGGCTTATATAAGCTCTCGCTGTTCAAGCATTTTCAATGTTTCCGTACAGTTGGTCAAGCTCACACCACCAACACTATCAGCCAGCACCGAACCACGACTACTACCACAACGGCTGCTGCGCTGCTGCTGCTGCTGGCTGACGACTGCTATGACTACTACTTCATAAGTATGATGACTGAAACTAGTGCCAGTAGAACCTACGGTTACTCCTAGCACGAATCCTACGGTTGTTCTTCCCACTTGTCATTCTTCCGGCGGAATCTGCTTGGGCAGCACCTCGCTCGACCAGCAGAAGTGCTAGGGAGTCGCCCTGCACCCGGTTTATGGCTGCAGCTTAAGGTTTCAGGTTTAGAGCTTACGGTAAGAGGGTTAGCTTGTCGGCTTTATGGCTCAAAGGCTCAGGGTTTAGGCTTTAGGTCTTAGGGTTGAGGGCTTAGGCTTGTAGAGTAGTGCTCCAATTGGACACCACATGAAAACACTCCGCAACATTCCTAAGGAGCGTACAAAAAAAACAATGAAACCCCCATAATCCCCATACAACCCCGCTATAAACCCTGTATAACTGAACCATATAGTGGTTTCCATTGTCTTTTCCATTATCCCTATAGTTAACCCTAAACCCTAAGCCCTAAACTTCACCTCATGGCTCCTACATTTCTCAAGATGCCTACAGCATTTGAAAGTTCACTGGTGGTAGCTAGGCATCTGGGGTTTTATGGCCTAAGGGTTTAGGGTTCAGGGTTTAGGGTTTGGGGTTTAGGGTTTAGGGAGTTTGCGGTTCAGGGGTCATTTCTTACATTGAGAAGGGCCATTCCCAAGAGCCTGGTAACAATTAACTGTACCTGCTGTAACCTGTACATAGAGTAATGGGCATAACGGGCATTTAGATTACTTGTTCCCAAAATGGGGAAACCCAAATAGGGACCCGCTTCATAACAAGAACCTATCTAGGGACCCAAATTTTTCCCAGTTTAGAGGAGAACCCCCCCTTCCCAGTTTCTCCGTAGTGCTGAACGTTTCGAAAGAAACGCCTTTGCTAATGATGCATTCCATGGAAGAAAGGATGCTGGAGTCGGTCATGATATGGTCGTAGCAATGCTCACAGTGACAGTTTTAGGATGAAACAATTTGAAGACTTAGCAATTCAAGCAATGCTTGGACAACAGAACGGCATGTCTGAGACCCCTTTCTCTTGATCACCTAGTTTCCACTTCATTTTCCATGTTCTTTTCCACTTGATTTTCCAGTATAGTAGTTCCCATTTTCTTTTCCATTATCCAAATATCGCTCAATATTACCCAGATAGAGTTGAAAACCAAACAAGTTGTGGGCGTCGTGGGGAAGGTCTAGTGCACTCTGTTACTATTGATGGGTGCCCTGGGACCCATGAAAACTACTAAAGTATGTTGGGGTTATATTAGGATTATATTAGGGTTATATTAGGGTTATAGTGGGGTTATATTAGGGTTATATTGGGGGTATAATTGCGATTACACGCGTTGCGTCTGCTTGGCTCTTGACTCGCTGGCCTCAAACTGCAACCGCCAAGGCTTTCGCAAGGAGGGCCGCCTCCTGGCTCCAAATCGTATCATGAATATGCTTATACCACATAAGCAATACATTCAACATACCTACAAGCAGATGTACATACAAGCACACCTAATTATGAACATGCATACATGTATGCGCACGTGTATAATGTATAACTACACATGTCAATATGATTATCGTTCTCGTATGTAAACTGCACGGATCATACTGCTAGAGGGTATATTGCCGTATTATCCCCTGTTCGGAGAAGGTGCCCTAGACCCTTAACCCTAAACGTCCAAACCCTGAAACCCCCGAAGACACTGAGAGTTAGCAGCAACAACCACAACCAAGACTTGGGCAGGGACATGACACGCTGTAAGTTCACAGACAGCGATGTCCGGATGACCTTACTTCAGCACAGTGCTAACGGCACTAACCCTAAGCCCAAACCTATTGTAGAACAAACATAGTTTCAGGCACACAACAAGTCAGCCGAACTTCTCGTTGGCTCCAGCAGGAGTCGCAAAAAGAATCTGAGTTAATGATGGGATTCCCATTTTTTGTTACACGCGCTTACGGAGCACATGCTTTGCGCTTGCTCACGCAGCCTTGCATGCCTGGAGAACGTCCAACAGTCTACATCATCGCGCGACACATCTTTGGATTGCTGTGGTCGAACATATCTTTGAACAACTTGCCTGGAAGCTGGTTGATTTCGGTGGGAGTATCAAAGATAGGTGGGGTCTGCGTGTAGGCTTCTGCCAGTATTCAACAAGGTTCTTTGATTGCTTCACGCAATGTTCCAGACAGTACGCCCGCCTGATTAACGATCAGGACTATTGTTGCTGCTCCTACCAAAATTCTAGGCCTAACCCCTAAACCCTAAACCCCAAACCCTAAACCCCTAAACCCTAAACCCTAAACCCTACTCTTCTCCGGGAAGGGCTGAGACCGCCACACTCCTCTCCCACGCCTTCACAAGTCCATTCCAGGCCTGGGTTTAAGTCAAACATGATCGCGGTTTAGGGTTTAGAGGTTTAGGGTTTAGGGGTTTAGGGTTCAGGGGTTTAGGGTTTAGGGGTCGGAGGTTCGGGTTTAGGGCTCAGGGAGAATCAAATGGAAATGAAATGTAAACTGGGTGTATATAGGGATATGTAGGGTTTAGGGTTTGAAGTTATTGTATTGGTTGTCAATGGGAATTGTAGGAATGGATCCTCATTCGTAACCCCTATATAAGCCTCAACACGAATATAATCATAGTTCCCGTGTTCTTTTTCGTTCCATAATTCCCAACTCCAAAGCATGCAATCAGCGGAGCCTGCTGAAAGTCTCAGGCACTTGCCCAAGCAACTCCACCGAATGCCTCTGGCAACAGCCAGGCTTCTATCACCTCCGGAAAACCTCAGCGTCCAGCACGCGGTTTAGGGTTTAGTGACAGGAATGGTGGCAAAAAGAAACATTCACAATGATCATCAAAAGTCAGCATGATGCAGCTGTAACTTCCACGAGGCCAAAGCAACCCACGATCAAACAAGGCAAACCATGAACCCAAAAACCCGAATCCTTAAACCCTCCGCCTGCGATCCTCGGAACTCTAAACCCCTCATCCCTCAACAAAATCCCCGAAATCCTTCAACTTATATTCAAATCCCCTACATTCCTTTCTGTCCCTGAGGTTCCTTGCGCCCCTAAACTCTCTACACAATGGGCCGGGTCCCCAGGCAGTTGAGCACCAGGTGGGAGATGGGCTCGAGATCGCGCTCCTCAGGCAGCATTACCTGGCAAGGCCCATGCTTTGGGGTTTAGGCTTTTGGGGCTCAGGGTTTGGGATTCTGTGTTTTGGGTTATGGGTCTGGCGTTTCAGGTGTATGGTCTTAGAGGTGAGTGGTTCGGGTTTAACGTCTAGGGTGTAGGCTCACGCCCGTCACCAAAATTAGAGCTCATGTCTGTTGGTCCTCATCTGGGTGTTTCTCGTATGGACCTGGCTAAATGCGGGGCCTGGCTGAAGGGGGATGATAAGAGGAATACGGGGGTCCTTGTTCTGGATTGTAGAGGGCCGGTGTTGAGAATAACCATATGGAAAGTGTTAGTTGATGGTTCCCTTCTTACATACGCCCAGACCCCAACAACTTGATAGGCCTAACCTCTTATTGAACAGCCTAGTATCACTGTTAAAAAAATCGCTCATATGCCACCCCAATATAACCCCAGTATAGTAGTTTCCCATTTTCTTTTCCATTATCCCAATGTAACCTTAATATAACGCTAATATTACCCCAATGATTACCCCTATGTCCTAGCATGACGATGCAAACTTGTGGCCTCCAGTTTGGTGACCGAGGAGGAGGATGAAGTTCCAGTCTGACCAACAGGCAATGTTTTGAGTAGTTCCCAAAACTAGGATCCCATTCTGGTACTTAAAATTTAAGGTGCTAACATAATCTATAATCAAAATGGGACCCAAATTTTGAAAACTACTTATATGTACTTGTTGGCATGATTGATTATGAGTTTATCTTGTCTTGTGCTGTCTTATCTGAGCCATTGTCTAAACTCCTGGTATCCCTGTAGTAATTCCTTATACAATCCCTATATCCCACCCTTTAAGGAGTTTAGACCATAGCTCATCTGATAACAGTAATATTCTGGCCACTAGCTTCCACGTCGGAGTGAAAGCTTGCATGTGCAAGCTTGCCTCTACGTTCATGCAGAACATGGTCTCGTCCTGGCCCGACACTAAGGTAGACCCAGAACTAAAAATCCCGTCCCATTAATCGGGATTATTATAGGGATCCTAATATTAAGGGGACTGGGTTTATTCATCATGGGGGTCTACACCCTAAACCCTAAACCCTAAATAGTAGTTTTCATTTTGTTTTCCATTATCCATCTACAACCCCAATATAACCCCTATATAATTAGGGGTCTATATTCATGTGACACTGGACCACATGAGGCAGCTGTTTGAATTGAGGTCCTCCACGCGATCATAGCCGTCGGCCATCCTGTGCCAGGAGCATCCTAGAACATAAATATGTGGTGTGCAATATGACATATAATCGGATGTGTGATGCGGACAACAATGTGTATAATCGTAACAGGGACCAAACAATAGAATGCAATCACACGAAAGGACCAGAAATCATGCAAATCGGCGCGTGCGCATACAAGTTAGACAAAAATGAGCTACGGCACCGCTCTCTGGAGCAGGAGCCAGCATGACTGCAACAATCACCTCCCCTCATTGCTGCGAGAAGTTACAATCAAGAGCATAACTTCCGCTTGAACAACTACTATTCGCACCATCGCCACGTTTACGAATGGCAGTAGCGATATGAAAGAACGGACTGTGGTCAAGCATTGCTATAGCAATACGAAGGATCTGCCGGGCTGACCTCTATACCCGCATGCTTCAACACATCCCAGAATGCTCTTCAAATGCTTGGGTTCGCATACAGTATAGCCTCCTTGTGCTGAAGGGGATTGGGAAGTGGATCCTTGCAATATCTTGTACTCATCACTGTGATCACCATACATACCCAAAGAATGCTCCATAAACTCTAGAGCCCTGAAACGTCCACGCTTGCCCGGGAACATCAGTAAAATGAACAGGCAATTTGCAAACATTGTCGGCCTCACTGGCAGCGCGCGTCCACAGATCCGGGCCTGCGGCCACTTTGGTTTTCCATCTACTGTCACCACCGACAAGATTTTTGCCCACCATGACTGCTGCTAAACTGGGCACCACTTTGCCACTGCAAGTGCTGCCATTGTGACTACTGCAATAACCGGCACACTGGTCTTCCGGATTTGTGTGGAGCAAATGACTGTTTAATGGCACTGCCCCTGCAGTGTCCACTCATCACAAACTGATGCACAGTGCTGAAATAGGCGACCCAGGTAACTCGACATTAGCAATTCAATAGCAAGCTGATTCCCATCTACAACCGACTACAATTCAGCTAGATTTGCCCAGCCTCGCGCCCAGAAAGCGGATGCATGCCTGGCGCCGTGCGACATGGCAGCTCCGACAGAAACGCGTCAAGCTGTACATCGACCGTTTCACAAGGGCCGCCTGCTTGCCATTTGAACGGCCCCAAAAAGTCTTGTGCAGCTTGCACCGCATAGCCTGCTGGAGGGTCATGGAATGTCTGACAACTGCTAATGCCTCTGAGCATTAATCCCCTCTTCAACGCAGCTCTATCGCGGCATGCATCTGCTAAGACCAACGCTTCCTCGGTGGAAGTCGGTCAGGGCCTGATACAAGATTCAGAAGCTGAACGTTTGTATGGACACCGCTTCTGCGCCCTATACCTGAGCACCTAGCCACACCTGCGCAGAATGATGCGCCCAGCAGCGCAGCTCGCGCTCTGCTCCGTGGGCGGGCACCCGGCATGTTGGACATGGAAGATTCTGCACGGGCTTGCTATGATGTTGCCTACACGTTGAATCAAATAGCTGGAAGCCCTGAGCAATCAAATGTCGCTGCTGTGAGCCATCATGAACGGTCATGATACGTCATTAACATGGTACACATGTGTCATGAAAGCAACATAGCCAGCGGGTAACCCGACCCTTCACATCCTTGGAGGCCTCCAGCAGCTTTGTCTTTCCAGTCGCAGCCTCCCCCACGAACAGAAGGTGTGTCATGTGTCGCCTGGGATATCAGGGGCCCAGAAAGCCCAGCATGAACTTAAGCCTCCACTGCGGCTAGCTTTGAGCCGGGCTTCAAGGTTCTGGCATCCCCTTGCCCATCTCTTGCGAGCATCTCCACATCATCGGCTGCTAAGAAGCGGGACCACCTAAAAGCACTCTGACCCTTGGCATGCGAGTTGAAGGCAGATGGCAGCACCCACACCTCTCCACGTCACCTCCAGACTGCGGCCGCGGATCCCATGGTCCGCCGCCCACCAAGGTCAGAAGCAGGGCCAACTTGGGCACCTGCAACAGGAAGGCCATCACACCCCTGAACCTAGACCTTCCACCCTAGCAACCCTGAACATCCCTGAACCCTCTTTACAAACCCCTAAACCCCCAAAGCTATTCCTTGCGGCCAAGGCTCCTCGAGGCCATGGAGGCCCGGAGCCACGCTGCGGAGGAGCGACGCGCGGTGGGCCATGGGGTCGCCGGGAGCTCCCAGGAACAGGGAGGGGCGCGCTGTCGCCTGCGGGTCGCTCGATCACTGCGAGCGCTTGCTAACGCAAGGAAACCCGTAATATGGTATGTAGCAGTAGAACGGCTGGCACTTCACACAGACATATCTCAGTTCTCCTTCATGAACGCGTGGGGGAGCCGGTCCGTTTTCATCCTTAAACAATTCCTAGACCCCATACAGACATCTCCACATCCTCCCGCATCCTTATGCAGACCATGCACGAACCTTATATGATTCCTACCCTGCTGATGAAGGGGTCCGGCCTCCTGCTGGTGGCGCAAGTCTGAGGCGTCGAGGACGAGCTCGGCAACCGCTTGCCGGGTGCGCGGCCAAATCGCACGAAGGACACCGCCTGTAAAGAGAGCGACTGGGTATGTTGTTGAAGACTGCGGAGGCGTGAAGGATACTGCAAGCGAGCAAGTGAGACGCAGAGAGAGAGAGAGAGAGAGAGAGAGAGAGCGAGCATCAGCATGGGCATGGGGGCTAGCATGTTAGACTTGGATTGATACTTTCGACAGAACGGACAGAACATGAGAAGCATTGTCAGACAAATGGTCTCGCTCTGTCGAGATGTAAGAAGAATGGCAACCAATGTCAAGAGTCAAGAGGATCATCTGCATTGGTTGGGCATGTTTTCCATTTTGGGGCTGAAGCCCCACAAATTCAGGCAACCCTGGCAAGCGCACATGTTCAACGTCTTTGATGGAATACCCATTGCAGAATTGGAACTTGCGACTGAGCCAAACATATAATCATTGTTCTGCACATCTTGATGCTTGTTATCCTAAGCTGCAAAAGGATCCGAATCCTTCTTTGGCATTCAATTGCGTTGAGATATTGAAGCCCATACCCCCGATAGTAGAAGACACCTCTAATGTTTGCCCAGGCATTTGTGAGAGGATTCTGGTAACCCGAAACCTACCATCTGAATAGAGTAGGGTCCTCATTTTGCGGGGTTCGTTGCCAAACTCCTCCTGTCACCTACTGCGAGTATACCCCTGTACAAAACCCTTCATATCCTTCCATTCCATTCTCCATGTTCTTGTCCATTTGAGTCTCCATTATTCTCAAAAATCCTACTTGAGTTCTGGCATGAGATAACAGAAGCCCAGCCTACAACCACCACCTCACCAGGGATGGCGCTACCAGCAAGATCTGCCGACAGAATGACTGTCAGTGAAGTTCCCACGCCTGGGGACGGTCGGTTTAGGGCTTAAGGTTATGAATGATGCTGGGGCAATGATCTTGTAAGCTTTTGGGCTGCATGGGTATATCATGGGTATAGGAAATTATGGTGAGATAGGGCCCAAAATGGAAGATCCATCTGAAACGAATATGCAAAATGCAATGGGAAGTGGGTTTATAGGGTCATATTGGGGTTCAGGGTTTAGAGTCCTTAAAGTCACCAGGGTTTGGGTCCCAGGGCTTCCCAAGCAAAATTGTACTCCTTGAACTTATTTACCCAAAGAATGACTACGGTATCCTGTATCCCATGAACCCCTAAACCGTAAACCCTATTGACCTACCCACACGCAAACTTGCCTGACTCGCACCCAGGCTCCCGAATACATCCGAAACATGGAAACCAAAATAAGCTGGCTGAGCAAAACATGGGAACCAAGG